TTGCGTGTTAGGGTCACTGCTGCGGTAGCAGAATATCTTTCTGTTGTTGTGAAAGGATGCGCGAAATTGTTGCACGAGGCGGCGCGCTAATTTCCTCCATGAACTAAAGGCCGGTGGCCATGGTTGGTCCCAGCGGGCCAGAAGAGTGTGTTTAGTTAGATGATATGTTATAAGGTGATACTTAAACCAAATTTTTAAAAAAAAACCATGGTTGATCCCAGCGGGCCAGAAGAGCGTGTTTGGTAAGGTAGTGTGTATGAAGAATATAATTAAATTAACTTTTGTTAAAATAAATAAAATAGCAATAATATGCTACAATAAATAAATTGATGTATTTTTTCCACTAATCAATGAAATGCACTAAAAATAGTTATAAATATCAGAAAATATTACAAAACAAATAATCAACCTTAATATAAGACGTGTAACCACAAACCTTTCCACACCTGGGCAAACAAATCAACTTTAAGATTGTTTTCAATCACCATTCCTGAATCCATTTCCACACGTTGTTTACCTTAACGAAAGATCATCAACTTCTAAACCATTTGTAAAATACGATCAATTAATGTTTAATTAACCCAACTGTTCACTTACTATTTCCTCCTCGACACTCGCATACGTATACTGCTGATATTCGTTGAGCAGGTCATTCATATTCGACTCGGCCTCTGTAAACTCCATCTCATCCATTCCTTCCTGTGTATACCAATGCAAGAATGCCTTTCGCCTAAACATAAGCTGGAACTGTTCAGCAATTCTTTTGAAAAGTTCTTGTATGGCAGTCGTATTACCAATAAAAGTGGCTGACATGTCCAGAGTAGACGGTGGTATGTCACACACGGCTGTTTTGACATTGTTTGGTATCCACTCGACAAAGTTAGACGCGTTTCGACTCTGTATGTTGTGTAACTGCTCATCGACATCCTTCATAGAGATATTACCCCGAAAGATGGTTGCTACAGTGAGATATCGACCATGTTTTGGATCGGACGCAGCCATCATATTTTTAGAATCGAACATTTGCTGGGTAAGCTCACTCACAGAGTAAGAACGGTACGAGGCCATTCCCTCGGCTATTAACGGTGCAAAGCCTATCATGAAAAAGTGAAGACGGGGAAACGGTATCATGTTTACGGCGAGCTTCCTAAGATCAGCATTAAGCTGCCCAGGAAACCGTAGACACGTGGTTACACCGCTCATCACCAACGAGACTAGCCTATTAAGATCAGCATACCCTGGATTTTTAAGCTTTAGGATGTTAAAGCAGATGTTGTACAACGCTTCGTTGTCAATACAAAATGTTTCATCAGCGTTTTCGACGAGTTGGTGGATGCTCAGCGTGGCATTATATGGTTCAACCACAGTATCGCTGACCTTAGGTGAAGGAACTACGGAAAATGTGCACATCATCCTATCGGGAAATTCTTCACGTATCTTAGATATCAAGAGCGTTCCCATACCGGCACCTGTACCACCACCAAGCGAGTGCGTGATCTGAAAGCCCTGCAAACAGTTTGATTTCTCAGCCTCTCTTCGCACACAATCCATAACATTCTCAATTAACTCTGCTCCTTCCGTGTAATGGCCCTTTGCCCAGTTATTACCAGCCCCGCTCTGCCCAAATACGTAGTTGTCTGGTCTGAAGAGGCTGCCTAGAGGTCCTGATCGCAGTGTATCCATAGTACCTGGTTCAAGGTCTACCAATACTGCACGCGGCACATATTGTTTAGTACTTGATTCATTGTAGTATACAGATATGCGATCAAGTTGGTTGTCCTTTGTGCCCGTATACTGACCTAGGTTGTTGATGCCGTGTTCCTCACTGATTACTTCCCAGAATTTTGTGCCGATTTGGTTACCACACTGGCCAGATTGGAGATGAATTATTTCTCTCATTGAGGGTAAAAATTTTGAAAATTTTTATGGATGGCGCTACGGTCAACCGCTGATGATAATTAGAATGCAAGAAAATGTGGATAAGTAATAATGCGAAAAATATAGCAGTACTGTTTTTGGGATATCCACCCATTGAAAGTACTTGATAGGGATAGATTAGTCCCTAAGGTATATTCAAGGTGGCGCTTAAATTTAATGCCGCAAACTTTCAATTTTGTGATGATCAAGTGTCAAATATTTGTGACTGGGAGGTTCATCTTTGACTATTAAAGCAAAGGCTAAATTTTTTTATCAATAGCTTGACAGGATAATATTTCTCATTAAAAATAAGCAAATGCATTTTAATAGCGTTTATTTTATTGAGACTACTCAGTTAATTGTCAAAAACGGAGAAGGATTACTGCCATGAAGCCTCTATAACATCTGATACCACATGATAAAACGAATTATAAATACTGCAAAATACTTGCAAAATTAAAGGCCATAACAACAGTTTGATAAATATAAACGCAGTATTTAGTCATAAAAACTTCTTTAAAAATATTACCTACCTCAATATGACAAGAATTTCAGCTTGTTTTAGCCAAGCGATTTTGAGCAAGACATGATCAAATGATTAGTGCTGGTTTACTCTTTCATGAATAGAAATGCATACTATAAACTATGTTGAACCATAGTGGTATTACATTATAAATAGTAACAAGGAGATATTACTATAGTATAATGTATAAATATTTCTATACATTGGAATTTCATAACAAAATAACATTATTTGTTGACATATGAATTACCACAATATTCCTACTAAAAACCACGGAATATTTGTTTGAATATATTTAATCAATTTCTAGTCACAATTTTTTATATTTTCTTTGTTAAGTAAATATATCTAAATTTATATGATAAATGAACCCGTTTATTATGTATTTCATACGTGAAATTCACTATCCAAAGAGCTTTAACGACACCGTCATATATCACTTCAAGAGATTCTATAATTAAATCATAAATATGTTACTATGATATTTAATAATGTAACACCATGATATTGTAGTGTCCCACATTTAATAAGTGTAATAAAGGTTAATTAGTTGATTAATTAATCAACTATTTGAGAGAATGGTAACAACCCGAAGGGAGCTACCAACAAGTACGATGCTACATCAGAGCCAATGACCACAGAACAATAACACTTTTCATACCTGAATATATCAAAAGCCCTGGGTTATTAGCAGGATTAATGGTAACTTAAAGGCAAACGAGTCAGTTGCTAGAGGAAAGCGTTAAGAAAAGTATTATTGATAAATATCTAAAGGATATTGACCAGCCAAGATGAAAGCATTGCAATATAACGTAATATACCAATCTTTAGAGATTTTATATTGATTATATGTGTGGTTTAATCCTTTTCATTTTATATCTTCTATCAGCACAAAAATTTCTTTACCATCCCAGTTTTAGCTTATATTCCCAGCCAGCACATCAAAAAATCATACTAACCTTACTCTCTATTCTATATTAATTTATACCTTTCCAACCAAAAATAAATATTTCGAGCTTATCCACGAAACAGAAACGTTTTTAGAGACTGGAGATAATAGAACGAAGTCTAAAAACTTGCACTCTATTCGTCAGTAAGTCATTCCTTTCTCCAAATCTAATTCTGTGTTGTAGACCGCTTTAAGAGATACAACATGGTGAAAATTGTAAAAGTTGTTACATAAAAAAACATTAATACTCAAACAAATAATTCATATTTTTAAAAATTAATTAATTAATTTTCTTTATTCTTTATAACTTTACATATTATGTATAATTGCACGTTTAATGGAAGTCAATTTTGACCGGTATAACATCAATGTATAAATTTAATACGTATTAAGAGGTTTAAACATGCATCTTAGGTTCTAAATAGTGCAATATCGCTGTATATTGGTAAAAAATTGTTTAAAAAAACAAAAGCATAGTGGTTTTATATGTTATTTATCTTTAATAATGGTGGTTTGGAAGCGTAGCCGACCAGTATATTTTATTTTTCTGTTGTCATTCAAATCATATTCATTTGAGATTAGCAAGTTTTAATTCTGCTGTAAAATGAATTGTCAGGAAATGATATGGAATTAAAATTCATTGTAAGATACCATTAATATAAAGTTAATATTTTCTAGACATTTGTATATTATTTAGTGCATCATTACCAATTTCTTTATCGCAAAACTATGTCAGCAAATGAAAATATATGAAATAGGAAATATTGCATTTATATCCTACGACTTGCAGAGACAGGTTAGATAACAGAGTGTTATGGAATATAACCATTGTATTAGTCGGGAAACAAAGGTCGGCGGCCACGGTTTCAGGCCCCAGCGGGCCGGAAAAGATATTTATTGTTTTTCTGATGACAATGAAGATGTAGGAAGAAATGAATAAACCGATGAATGAGATGGAAGGTGTAAAACTGGATTTTTAAATAAAGCTCTTTCAGTGAAAAAATCATTGTGTTCGTATAAATGTTTGCGAACACATAAATAGATATGAATCATGTTTTTTCGAAATATCGATCTATAACAATAAATTAAAATAACAACCATCCTAAAACTGATAATTCAAATAGAATTACATAGGAAACAATGGAGTATATTGAACATCGTCATTATTTTATAATACATTAATATATATCAATCAGCTTGATTAGAATTGTTTTAAATGTAAAATATTAGATTATATAGAAGGTTATGTTATTGAAAGCTGTTTTTGAACAGCTTATTTGTTCGCAATTATAGCTGATATTATGTTGAAACCTTCGTCTTTGAAAGTCGTGTCCAAACATTCAAAAATTAGATATTTCGTTTCGATGAGTGTTTTATAAAGTAAAAGAGAAGGTAGTAGTCGCAAAATAATACGTGTAAATTATCATTCACTGGACAAAGCTAAGTATTAGAGCAGGTGTATTTTTGAAATTCCTCACAAACCGTATCTTTCGTTATGAGTTGGCGTTCTTGTGAATAGATGTATTGTTATTATTTGTTTGTTGTTAAATGATACGAATCGAGTATAACTATGAATACGAGTGTTATATATCTATTTCACCTCGTTATTGAGTCGGTTTGGCCGAGTGGTTAAGGCGTCAGATTAGAAATCTGATGGGCTCGTTCCCGCGCAGGTTCAAATCCTGCAGCCGACGTTTGTTTTGAAAATTGTTTTGGCTGGTTTTCTAAACGAGTCTTAGTGTAGTGTCAATTACAAGTAATCTCGATGATTTTAGCTACATATAATCTAATTACAATTTTAATGTATGCGTCTTCGTTGCTCGCAAACCTTTTCTATTATAACTGTTCTTCCTCAATCCGTATTCGCGCAATGTCTTTCTCACAATATTTGTAGCTAAATCGCTTTTGTTATATCATTGAAGTATATTGTAAACATTACGTTTGGTGCTGTTATATAAATTCTGTTCTTATCTGTCTTCTTTACCCGGTAATTTTACTGATCTATCCCGCGTAACCTTTTCGTATTATAGCCACTTTTACATATTTAAAGATCTATCTTGCCAATTATCTGTGTAAAAGCATGAATTGGTGGTTATCTGATACAACTATAAATAACTGACGTTTCAACAGATTGTGATTGTGCTTACATTTAATATTACACTTTTAAATACGATGACTGGAATCTTATCAAGTGATAGCATTGTGTTTTCCAGTTAGACAAAACTTTAAGAAGAATACAAAAAACAATTAAAAAATTTAAATTAAATACAAATTACCTTATTTGAAAGTAAAGATAACTTAGTGAGCTCTATACATATTTTATTTACATATACAGATATAATCTATGATATTACAGTTTTATCATCTAAGCACTTAACATTTTGAAAATTATATTTCTATAAAAAACCGCTGGTGGTTCTTCGAATTCCAAATATTACATATTTTTTGAACATAATAAGTCGGCATACCAAATCGTTTGCCTAACGCATAGAATAAGTACTACTCATTCTACGACTTGTCAGTCATAAGGGGTCAATCTTTAATTAATATATAACATTCATTATTAATTAAAAAAAATCTCGAAATTCTCGCATTTTAGACCAGTTCGACAGTAAAGCATGCAATATATAAATGGGACGTGCTGAATATGAAGATACTGCTTTACACCCAAAGTTGATAATTTTGGACACTTAATGCCGAAATATGACATATTGTACTCTTTTTTTATTTTATGACAGATTTATCATCATAGATCTAATATTTAAAGCCTGAAATAATAAAAAGACAACTTGCAAGCCGATTGGTCTGTTTGAGAAAAAACAGACAAAATTTACTTTATCTTTTCGTTACAATTAATAAGCTATATATTGTTATCGTATTCTCATGTTCCAAGTTCACTTAGCAGTTATTTGTGATCAACGTTTAATGAAAGTTCTAGCAGTCAAAAATTAATTTTTTAACCCCTGATAAAAACACAAATGACAGGAAAATCGTTGATTTAAAACGCAATTAAAAACAAAAAAATGACTCCTATCGAATGCATTAAATTTTAAGTATCGTTTTATAAACGAAATATCGCAGCTAATTTTAACTAAAGAGTTTAATACACCACTAAGCAACGTAGTTTTCAGCAAAAACTGCTAATTGTTAACTAATGATTAACAGTAGGGTTAAGAAGGAGGTTTTGCGTGCATTAATTAAACATTCATGATTTATGATCTATCTCGAGCATTTTCTTTAGATGAAAAAGCCTCGAACTACTAGAACTAACTATAAAACAAATCGTCAAAGACGGTGTGATCACACTGATTAACATATTAAAACGAAATAAACGACAATAGATCAAACATCTTTTTTATAATACACTTTAATTATACGCCACGTCTAACATAATAAAAAAATTGTACGCTCAACGTTTTTCAATAAGCCGAGGATTCAAATGATAACAAAAACATACTGGCAACGAATGAATATGCCATTTTACCAACCTTTTCATAAAAACTGGTGTTTGTAAACGAAAGATTAAAAAGGCTCTGGTTGCTGAGAAAGGTTAGCACAAATATCATAAGTAAAACACATGCCATCGGTGAATTGCCACTATAAAAGAGCGCAATGATCATTGATGCTTTGATGATGGTTTCGGGTGTCACGAACAGAAGTATCCACTCAAACCTCTTCAAGATCGTGTCCTCGGACGCGACCTCTGGTTGTGGTGACAAGTAATACATCCTACCTCCCCGTTTTACCACTTTTCTTGGATCAACAGCCATCAGTTTCCCGGTTAGAAGATTCCTCACGCTTACGTTTCGCTCTATCTGCCGCATCTCTATATCATCCTCTTCGTTGTTCAGAGACGAATTGGACAGGGGAGTATCCTCAAACGTAATGTTGTCGTTTACATTGGAGTCTACATCGCTATCTTTTATTTTTCTATCTTCAGCACTAGTTTGTGCTGGACATTGTTGCTCAGTTACGCTAGACTCGCTCAAATATTGAAAACTGGAACCGGCGCCTTTCTGGCACTCCTTCTCATCGATGCTGTTCTCTATCTTGTTGTGCTCAATGATGTAATTGCTTCCTTCCTCGCCCTTTCTTACATCAAATTGAAGAAATACAGTACCAGTCGTATTCAAAATGCTGATCGGAATCCTGTCGGATATCTTTTTGCCATTATACAGTATCACGAGCCGATTCTTGATTTCAGATACGCTGTGTTTTCTCCTCAACCCGTTCAGCCTATATATCTCGATGGCTGCTTCATTATCAACCATTTTTTCCACAATATAATTCTTTATATCCTCCACGGTCTCATTAGCTGTCATTTCAGTCTCAAAGAGAATTTCTCCTCTGGGCGAACTCATGGTTATTTTCAACATAAGGGTGCCCATTTTTTGTATTTATATATTAAAAATTCTTATCAGCGAAGTTTGCTATTGGTTGGAAAGCGGTGCTGAAATATCGAATCGGGAGGTAACTTCTGATGTTGAATGCTATGTTACTGATGTGGTTTTCTGGTTCTATAGCGCATTTACTCCTTTTTTGGCATAAAGGGGGAGAATTGATGGATGATTTGATGGACGAAGAGGTGGTGAATGTAATTGGTGAATTAACCTCCTTTTCCAAGGAGAATCATTTTTAATCTTTGTACTGAACAGACTTTGTCGAGTCTTCCATAAATATTATTTTATATTCGTGGAAATAGTCCAAAGAGGAAAAAATGGTGGATTAAAACGAATGAAAATATTAAATACAATTTTTATTGTAAGTTCAAAATAATGCTCTGTAAACACATGTAAATGAAGTAAATGAATGAACAATTAATATAAAAAAAATAAAATTGTTACTGATACGGAAAAAGCTCCTAATCTAACCTTTGGATAAATTAGTCCCATATTTATAAACGATGGCAAATTTATTATCTTTTTCATATTTTTACGTTTTAAAATAAAATCGATCGGTAAAATATAATATTTAATTATTTTCCCGTTATTCATTTTGTGGTCGACCTTGACGTTCGTTCACTCAAATACTGCTGAGCAACGCTATTTCATTTTAAATGAAAATTATTATCTCACTTTTTGTACTCATCAGCCATAGCCATTAGAAACAGACGTGATTTTTATACAAATAGCATCTCGATGCCGGTAATACTAAACAAAAGATTATTTTTAAAAATAGATGCGATTTATTTTGATTAATATTACCATATTGTAAATTTTTTGGCACAATTTTTTAGTGATGCAGTTTAAGATGAAAATAACACATTTCGACATTCTAATTACATCTTGTTGAACATATGCTATCTTAAATAGATCACAAGTCATTATATAAACATCACAATGTTCTTTTTCTTCCATTATTCGGGTTAGTAAACATAATAAAGCAAAAAATTACATTTGTTGATCTATAACACGTATGTTTATGTCTGACTACCAACATTACGGTTGGGAACCACGAATCACTTCTATCATTTGCACCGTGATTGGTCATTTTGAAGAATTGTGCGATATGACCGCGTAAATGGTTTTATGAGTAGAATCCGCGGTAATGTAATAGAAAAGCTAATAAAAGAGATAGTAAATATTAGTTGACTCAAGATAAAACACAATGCACGTAACTCGTTGCGCTTAATACGTCAAACAATATATTTTATTGATTTATTTGTATGTTTATCGAGTTTTACAAGTTTTATTAGCAGTTTTCTACTGAAAGTTATTCAAATCTGTTGTATGTTAATGATCATTAATTTTAAATCAATATACATGAGATGTATTTAGTGTAATATTTTTATATATTTAGTATAATGAATGTGATACGAGAGCATATTTGTACGCATATTGTTCACATGTATATGAAATATTTATCCCAAAAAATGATATTAAGCACAAATATTTCTTTGCAAACAAAAAATATAAAAGAAATTGCGATAATATTTGAACACGTAAAAAATTTTTGAGATAGAACCAAAAAGGCGATATTTAAATTTGGCATGCATAATTATGTGGCTACGTGTTTATCATACGGTCTTCTAAATTTTTAGTTGGTTAAACTTCTCGATAACCAAAGAATGCAAAGATTAACGGTTTACAAGACAATTCAAACGCTTTAGTTTTCGTTTTTTTAACAAAATTGTATTCCTCACATGATAGTAAACGAAAATATCGCGGTGGTCTGAATTTTCACCAAAAAGGTATTTTTAAGAAAGAAAGGGACAATTTTCGTCGCACGATTTACGATGAGAAGTGCAACTTGCAAAGGTTTTCCGACGGTAATACAAATACCTCTACACCTTTCGACTTTAATCCTAATCCGAGACGGATGTCTTATAGTATGCAGATCATTTAACAACAGCTTTTAATTCTCGAGGATTTGTCAGAGATTTACCTTTTTCGCACTTCAATGAATCAATCTTAATTCACTATTCAAGTGATCAGTTTTGGTTACCAGGCCTCCAAAGTACGCAATTCACTTAGAATCCACCATAATCAAACATACCCATGTTCATGTGCTCGTATGTTTAAAAATTAACTTTTGAATTCGTTTTAGTTTTTCTTATTACATGACATGGCCCTATAAATAAATTTTTCAGTCGAACACGTGTTGGTTGAACTTTATTCATATGGAATTAAACCTAACTCATTGATATTGTGCAATTTATCTTTTCCATCTGATCCTCTGAAGTTTTCCAATGATG